CATATCTATTCTAACCTTGATCAAATAAACCAACATTATATTCCATTATATATGGTTATAACACTATAACCAACATCTTAATATTCAGTCCATTCAAATAATGCCGTAGTACTTGATTTCTTTTCATTTTTTCTTTGTGTCTTCTCGCAAGATTCCTCAAAACTTTAACCAGCCTCTTTTGTAAATCCAATATAGGAAAATGTAATGGTATATGGGAAAAACCTTGGGAAATGGGGTGAAGAGATGTTGCCTAGGGAATGATCAGATAAGAGACAGCATAGCCTGCAGCGCCATAATGATTGGAGCAAGAGACTCAGGAGGGACCCTCCCTAGTTTTTCAGGCTGTAAAGGAGACGGCGGGAGAATTGTACTTTCAGACGTGCAAAATTCTGTTAATGTAGTTTTACAATAAAGTAGAATTAGCTTATCTAGTCATGTTTATTGTCTGGTCTTCTTGATAAAGCTGACATCAATCTTGCAAATCTCCCTTACAGCCTGAGAAACTAGGGAGGGACAAAAAACAACCCCAAGTCATACAGCAGACATATTTCAGTATGTTCCTATGTATAATGAGTCCAATAAGGATAAAATGTCATGCCCTCATACAAGAGATCCCATGATTCCAACACCCAGAGGGAATTTCAGGGATATACACTGGAATATATACTGGAATAGTCCCCCTCTGAGACAGTGGAGTCATGGAACCTGCTGTAGAACATAAAATAACAATTCTATCTCTCTAGTCTGCGAGCTCAAATAAAGAAGATGTATACCACTTGCAGAGAGTCTGAAATAATGAGTGGTTTTTAATAGCAGGAAACTTTGGCCATGTCATTTTGTTTTGTTCTTCTGGTTTAAATATCATTTAGCAGCTATTCAAAATCTTTACAATGTCTCTTTCTTTGATCCTGGGAATAACATTAGACATTAGTTAATATTTAGAGGAGTGACACACTTTCTGCAGAAAGCAAGTAATATCTCTCTCTGAGTGAGAGTTCCTGGGAATAGTTTTGAAAGCATTACATAACATGTGGATTACAAAATGCCAAATAACTTGTGGGAGCCGTTCCAGTATCAGTTTTTATTTCCTACCATACACCAAATGTACAGCACAGAACACAGTTTTGTTGCTTTGATGTAAGAAATATTAACTGTATGAAGAAACAGTATACAAACTACCCAAAAATTAAAAAAAAAATGCATACATCATTGCCCTTTACAAAAGGTCTAATTTACAGAATAGCTCATCAAAGCAAATTAACCCAGAGAAATGAAAGGAAAAGAGAAAGAATGGGAGGACAGAGGAAGGGAAGAATCACAGCTCACATTACAGAACATCAAGTACAAAGAAGGCAAATAAATATGAAGGTACGTCTTGAGCGAAAATCCAAACACAGATAAATTAACTTAAAGCCATAGTAAATAATAATAATAATAATAATAATAATAATAATAAATATATTAAAAAGAGATTGCTTAATTTAATTTAAATAAAATATAGAATTACTTTCTTCAAATATTTAGTACATTATCTCTTACTTTTTGTCATGGGTGAATGCCTTGGTATGCCTTAAACAGGTGTCAGCAAATGTCTTATAACAAACAAACAAACAAAAAATCAACAAGTACAATAATTTAATAGCAATTTGGTGTTCTATTTTATATTAGCACATACTGTAGCTTTGTCAAATTGTTTTCTTTAAAAAATAAGCACAGCTTCTAAGAACATACACCTCTCCTGTCTAAACTAAGGTCTGAGGGCCAAACCAGCCCCTCCACACACAAACAGCAAGCCCACCTAATGCCAGAGAGCAATCACAGCATATGAAAATTGAAGAATGATTGAGAGGCAACCTGTGGATAGGAACACTATCATATAATTGTATGAATGAAGACAATGAGTAGGGCCATGCCCAGTTGAGATATAATGTTGGCAAATAAAACTAATCACGGTCATTGTAGCACCGAAAAAGTAAAGCCCGTCCTGTAGCCATGTACACACTTTCAACTGAGGCACATACGCACGTGAAACATGTACAAATGGGTAAAGGCAGATCAGCTGGTGGCCTGTATTTTCTTTTTAAAAATTAATTTTAACATTCTCGGGGGAAAGGCTTTATTATTGTTGAATGCTGCCCAGAGTCACTTGATTGTGAGAAGGGTGGCTATATAAATATGATGAATAAATAAATAAAAATGAAATTATGTTTAAACTCCCTAAAACAGATGTTCAATCTCTGTTCAGAGCAGTTACAAAACAAGGACTGAATACAAAATATCAAATGGTCCACACTGGACAAGTGTGAATGTGTTTCTGAATGAGGGCTTATGGACTGCAGCATTTGGACACTTCCCTTTCCATAATCAGTGGCAACTAAAACTTGCTACAACTTGATCCAAAGTTACCCAAGACTCTGGTATGTACACTAATCACTTCTGTATGTTCCCTATTTTCTTCAGTGTAAAAATCAGTTCTACTGAAGACACAGGAATGAGCCACTCCTAAGATTCTCTAGCAGTCAATGTTGACAATATTGAGCTGGATGATAAATATTATTTATAGTAATCTATAATAGGGTTATATCAAAATCAGTCTCTTTGGGCCATGGAGAGGACTAATTGTAACACATGATTGCTGCAGGAGGTCTTGCCCTGTTAAGGTCAAACTAGAAAAGTCCTGAACCTGTGCAGTTTCTTTCAATCAATCTAGAAGAACAACTGCTATATCAGGGGAAATGTCCTTGCTTCATGATATGTACAAAATCATCAACTTGGGAAGCACTTTTCCAATATGAAAATGTTCATATTGGTGAGCTGATGAAATTGGTGAAATAATTCATAGTGGTGAACTGAACCATGTTTTCCCCAGCTTCTATACTTCAAAACTTATACTTATTTGAGAGATTAAAGAGTTTTATCGTCTTTCATGAATGAACATGAAATTGGGGCAATGGGGAAGACTCCTTCCCTCAATCCAGTCTTCCCCTGAATGGTTTCAAACAATCGTTTTGTGCAGGCGAAGGCTGTAGCCGGGTCCAATGCTTTGCTGATTGCTGTATTTCATTATTGCTACAAAAATTCTTGAACTCTTACGGCATGCTGTGCTCAAGGAGACTACGTTGCCCACTAGAGGGCACCGTTCCCCTTGGTATCCCTGGGTCTTTGCCTCTCATGCTATTGCAAACCCATTTCTTATTTCATAAAAAAAACTGTTATAAAAAGCAGGATGTGGTGAAAATAAACTAGAATCACAGTTCTGTTACTTTGTTTCTTTCATAGTATTTTCTTCTTCCTGTACAAACCCAGCGCATTATTTAATTTACACTATAACTTTCAGTCTATTTAAAATCCCATTGGAAAATAAATTAACAAACACATTTGTAAAAATATGGCAGGCTGCAAGAAATGCTGTTAAACAATCTTTTCTTTAAAAAAAAAACATACAACTCTTTGATTGAAAATAAATTAAAAATGTAAAAAAATAGTTACACACACTTTGTACATTCACTTTACAAAAATGAAACAAGTGCAAAACAACTATGGCAACAACGAAAAGGATTTGTACAGAAATAAATATGTTTGATGATCTAACTCATTGCTGTTAATACAATAGTCTGTTATGCTTAATGTCCTTTTTATGTCAGCTGGAAAAAAATAGTGCAATGTTGTAATTAAAAATGCAGCACAGCAACCAATATTTCTAAGCAGTCCAGGTGCTCTTCATGGATTCATCTGGAATTTGTGGCTGCCGAGAGCTTCTTGTGCCCAGCAGTTCTTCCATCCTACACATGAATACCCTTCACTGCTTGCTTGATACTTTCCAGCAGAGCCTTGCAATCTGGGGAATAGTCCCTTTCCAGGTTGCTGTACATATCTGTGAGTGTATTCACGTATGCTTCAAAATTCTGCTCACTGATTGGGCCCTAAATAAAGACAAACACATGACACAAAACAAAGGAATCAAAGATCAGCAGGACCTTAGAGAGAGAGAGAGAGAAGATTCCTTATCTGTTAACTGCAGACATGAATCTGGCTGAGGTACGCGAGAACCGAGTTTTCAAAATCTAAGTCAGACCTTTTTTTTCTGGTGAAAGCAAGTCACAATCAGTTGGAATCATGCTGAATGGACACCCCTTTTCTCTCTCTCCACCCCCTTTTTACTGTAAGCGCATTCACTTGTAATGCTTATATCCTCACCATATTACTAACAAATAAAAGACTTGGCTGTACCATCTGCCCCAGATGACCCAGCAAGTTGCTGCTGGCAGATATTTGCAATTCTTCATCATCTGTGGCTGGTACTCCACCATCACAAGGAGGTCTGTCCAGATAATCACATTTTATTTTGTCTTAAAAAAACAGGCATATGGAGGCTTGATTGAGTCACAATATGATTCCAGGCAGAGGCAAGTGACTTTTTGCCCAAGGGCTGTGTGTATATGTGTATGTATGTATGTGTGTGTGTGTGTGTGTGTGTGTGTGTGTGTGTTTCAGCCTCTGAATATATATGGGTGTCATGATGATACCACCAGGGGTTCTTTTGTGGGTTGCCCTACAGTATTTATCTACTTTCCTATCTCAACATGTGGTCCTTGGCCACAAATATTGTGGCCATGGAGCAATGGGGAACCCAATCACTTTTTCCTCTTGCCAACTGATCATTGTCATCTGCTTTGCAGCAGAAGTGGAATTTTATTTCCCTGCTGCCATTAATGGAAGGAGACCAAGTAACTTGGTCTATATTGGTCCTCTGCTCGTGGGGCTGGCAGGGACCAAATGCTGGTTTCCCATTGGTAATGCTGGCAAATAAAAGCAGTCCACAGTATGTCATTGGCAAGGTCACTGCATATATGTCTATGAATTCAGTTTGTTCAGCCCTTGGACTAGACACTTGAAAAGAAAATAATTATCCATCTTCATGTTAGCTTGAAAGACAATACAAGTTATCTCGCATCTCTCTACCAGATGAGTTGCCCCACTCCAAAAATATTATTCTTTTGTATTTAAAGTACAGTATTACCATCACTGTATCCAGAATTGCTGATATACCTTTTTCATAATTTCACAGTGAGATTAATGGATTCTGCATCATAATTTTCCATTTGACAGTCCTGCAAGATGCCACCATATACTTTGCTATTCTTGGACTGTTAGAGAAACTGCAGAATCCTTAGTCACAAACATACCATTTGTGGAAGTTGAATGTCGGCAAGACTGGAGATGAGGGCTTGGCTTAGGCCAGCCAGCTCCTTTAATAGGCTCTCGTTATTCTGCTCTATCAGTTTATTCTCTTCTTCTATGGTTTTCAGATTGCTCTCCATTGATGTGATCTGAATCCATGGAGAAAAGTGAGAGATGGCAGGATGAACAGTTAGGCTCTTGATATAAAACTACAACTATGTACAAGAACTTGCTCAGAAGACCCAGGACCAAGCAGAGAAGATGCAACCCTGAGGCCCACAAAATCGTGTCACCAATATTCATCAGAAAAACGTTGTTTCATCATGTTGTTGTTTTAAAAAAGTGTGGAAATGGAAGGTGTTTGCCTCCTGCTTCCGTTTCCACCTAATGAGCCCCCCCCTCCCCCCAGCAACCCTTCCACACAGCTCCACATTGTGGAAAGTTGCCCATCTCCACTCCAGACAGCAGCAGCAACCCTGCAGGATGAAAAGAACAAGTATTTGCTTGCTTGCTTGGTGGGAGTTCAAAAGTGGATGAAAGGCCCCAATTTGACAAAATAGGAGAAGGCTTAGTGGTAGGTTAAAAATGCCTGGTAAAAAAAGAGTTTTGCTATTAGGCGAACAGAAAAGAAGCAAACGAACTGCTGTTTACACTGCTGATTTTTTCTTACAGCATCCCTGCTGACTCATTACAATAGCGACAACCCTGGAATTAGCACTAGAACTAGGTGAGGCTATGCTGTAGGATGACTGACGTTATAAGCACTTCTGAATGGAAAGGGCTAAAAATAAAAGAAACAGAATAGAAAATAGAGGCACATGCAAGCAAGGCCAACACAAAATAGGATCTTGAAAGGCATGACTTTCTATCAGAGTAAATAGTCCTAGACTAGGTGGACCAATGAAACTTATACATTCATTTAAAAAAAAAATTAGATGATATGAGTCAAGTAAGAGCAAAGCAAAGACTGACAGATCAGGCTATTTTGTTCAGGCTTCATTGGCCATCACAGTAAGCTGCAAATTTTCCATGAGTTTCTCATCACTTTGCAATTCTCATCACTATTTGCATGCTGCTACAATACCAGATTTATGGGTGCAATTATAGGACTGCATGCTATGCATTACAAGCAAATCTATATTTAGGGAATATGTAGTGCATATTCATCATTCCGAAGATAGAGATTTAGTCACTTCTTAGGAAGGTGATAACTATTTGGTAAAATGGAAACATCTAAGTAACTATTCTGCACTCAGGAAGAAAAGAAGGCATTTCATAGAAGAGCCCCTGCGACTTGCCTACAGGTTCCTTCTCACCATATTTCACTGGGAATGGGGTTCTGAAGGCAGATTCTATTTAGAATTAGTGGTCTGCAGATAACCAGACCACAAGCCAGATAGGATTTTAAAGGTATAAATAGCACTTTGAATTTCAGCTTGAAATTCAAACTTGAAACCTATGCAGGTCCTGCTGTATTAGTCTTACATGACAGTAGGTCCTGTTAACATCCAGGATGCTACATTTGCACTAGTCACAATATCTTGATGGTTGTCAAATGCAGTCCCATGTAGAGCTGGTTACCATATTCCACCCTAAAGTGATGAGGCGACATAGTCACAGTTTCTGCTCTATGATTGGCCACAACTGATACACCAGTCATAGCTGGGCAAAGCCCTCCTGCTATAGTTTCCAACTCCTGTTCTGCTAGGAGATGAGAATGCAGGACTCTGAGATTACTCACAGCTCTTTCTAGGGGAACCCAACTCCTTTCACAGCCTGATGTCGGTATTATTCTGGAATCAGCCAGCATCTGAACTCAGAGCCACAGCCTCCAGACCCTGGGTTAAGACTTCCATCACATATTGATGATACCTAACCCCAAGCCAGTGGATGACCTCTTCCAGAGGCTTCATGTAAATATTAAATATGACAGGGAGAAATGTGGCATCCTATACTGGAGTGCTGAAGGGCTCAAAACTGTCTTCCCCCCAACCTGACTCAAACCATCCACTTAGGAAGCAACCAAATCACCACAAAATGGAGCTCCTTACTCCTAACCCTCACAGGTGGTCCAGAAGGATACTGTGACCAATGGTACTGAAGGCTGCTGAAGGATCCAGAAGGACTAAAAGGAAAATGTTCCCACTATCTAAACCCCAAAAATCATCAATAATGACCACTTTGATTTCCATCCACTCCCCACACCTAAACTGTGACTGAAAAGGTTGTAGATAATCCTTCCCACACTCTGTACTTCAGAGGACAACCGGGATCCCAACAAAACCACCCTCCAGACTACTAGGGAACTCTCCAAATGCCATCGGGCAGCCAGGAGGATCTATTTAGGCCTGGGATGGACTGATCTAATTGGATTTAACTCCTTGCAGAGGTCAGTAATGCCAGTCAACTCCATGCTCACTAAAAAGTGATCTGTCTATGACAGTGGAGTTCTTCTTATACGTAGCATCACCAGATCATGCCTCAATTGCTCCAAGGTATAAAACAGGTCTAATATGTGGCCTCCTATGCATCAGACTATGATAACATGGAACAAGCTCATGGTTGTAATGATGACTATGAAATCCCAAAGTGCCTCAGAACAATATCCCCTCAGGGATGGCTGGCTGAGATCACCTATAGCATCAACCTAGGTGCCTCAACCACAGTGAAGGTTTGGGAGGATGGTACAATGATGTATTAGCTCTCTTAATTTCTTTCTCCAATCCTTTCCTTCTCTTTACCTGCTCTTTCACAACATATCACTTTATTAATACAAAAATCTTTCATTTTTCTTCTTCCTTTCTTTCCAATAGATCTGGCAAACGAACATTCCCAGACTCAGCTTCAAGCAATATGAACCCTTTGCCATGTCAGGATAGTCAGCATTTTAAAACTCAGCTGATGGTGCTCAGCAGCAGCCAAGGCCTTAGTGTGGTCCAACCAGGAAGAGGCAGAGCGTGTGCCAACTGGCAAATAGTGCACAGGGAAGTGTTCATGTGTTGTTCATGCTGTTACCATCTGTCACTATGGCCCCTTTTCCTATTCTTCTGAGAATGAGCTGCACGTAGAGAATGCTTGTGCTGACCTGGTCACCAGTATTGCTTCCTTAGCCAGCACTGGCCTTCATTTTCTTCCAAACCAAGTTAACTTTCTGAGTAGCAGCAGGAGACTTGATCCTTCAAGTGCTAAAAGGGGTGGCTGGGGGAAAATATGTATTATTGCTATGTCTCAGTGAGGTAGTTACATTCTTACCTGTGTCTGAAGTTTCATCATATCAGCTTCAATTTTAAGGTTGGATTCATTTAGTTCTTTAATTTCTTCATCCAAATGTCTGATTTCCTCTTCATTCTCTAAACCTGCACAAGTCAAGTATAAAATGATGTCTTACTAAAAGTATTAAGACGTATCTTTAGGAACATTGTGAAATAGTCTCTGAGGCTTAAATTGGTTAAATACCAACCCATTTAACTGAAATCAAAACAACATATTGCAATTTCATCCTACACTTATCAGAATCAGTATCAAACTCTCCATTGTGATACATCAAGGATTGGGAAGTCAAGAAGGACCTTCAAAAGGCTCATGCATGTTCACTATATTTCTCAATATTTTCCTTCTCTTCCTGCTGTACTATTTATTTCTATGCCTGATCCTGAGTAAGTTTTAAGTATAGAGTCTAAAAGGAATACAATGTTCATATGTAAGTTATACATCAATTTCAGCTATATTTATATATCAATTTTGGTGATATGGAACAGGTCCAATGGTTAAGCTACATGTGTTATATTATATAGGGATACAAACTGCATGATCTTTCCTTTGCATATCAGTACTATAAAGCGGTTAGGTGGGAAATTTAGATTTAGAATGAATGCAAGTACATCTATCCATAGTGCATAGCCATAAACTTCAATAGCTTTGAAAAGGGATTCAGAGAGCAGAAGATTATCAGTGGTGGCTAATCATAATGGCTATTTGTTACCTATAGTCAATATCTATTATTGGAGGACAGAGAGCAAAGTGTATCACATAGATACCGTGGGAAAAGAATACATAGTCAAACCTTTTGCAATAATACTGCTGTAATGCAATACAATGGTTCTTATAATTCTCAGTAAATCAGTGGGTTGATGCTACATTCATACAATCTAATCTCCTTACCTCCATTTGCTTTCAATTTAACAGTCATTACTTCTTCAGATATTTTGCCTTTTTTTAAGGCTTGTGCATTCAGAGGACATCCAGACAAACTAAAAAGAGTAGGAAAGGGGACCTATATGAAAGTTGAAACATATTTTGATTGCCACAACTCAGCTTCCAAGGTCTTGTCAGTACAAGTCCATTTTACTGCGCTGCCTATTATGTTCCACTCCTGTAATAATGTTAATTCAATACTATTGGTTGTGTATGATTTCCAGTGACATTCCTACAGAACTGTCTCCTCTTTCAACTCATTGTTCAGTTGTGTTATGGCTGTACCTTGATAGCAGTTGCTCCAAAGCACCAAATCTGATACATTTGCACTACTGTTTTGGTAACAGCCAAACCAGCTATATTCATGCTGTGAAATCTATGATCCTGAAGTTACATTAGAAGCTCAATAGAACGATTTATGAACAGCTCATAATGTCCATTTTCAAAGGTCTATAACATACTAGTTCAATGATTTGGTCCTAGGAATAATTTACTCTTATATAGCATGTATAAGTGTTCTTTAAAGGTCCTAGGTCTCGATCATCCAAAAAAGATGAGTTATTCAAAATGCATGCAAAATCCTAACACAATTTTTCCTATCAGTTGGATAAGACTGTTAAATTAACAAAACTGCATTGATTTTCAGGTATTTGCTAAGAGAAGGAAAAAAAAGGGAAAAGAGACAAAGTGATACCTTCTGTGGGTGACAAAAACATTATTAACGTGACCCAGCCCGTTGCAGCCCGGCAAAGGGCAATGTGGCAGCTCTTGCTTGTTCAACTTCCAGGGCAGCGAAGATCCATTCAGAGGACTTTCCTTCTGTCTCTTGGCAGCCACGGGACAACCTGAAGCTGTGCGATGGGAAGTGTATTTACCTGATACGTGACCTTGGCCATCACAGCCTAGCACTGGACATCTGTAGGAACACAGCAAAACGGATATTTGTCTAAAGATCTCTCTAACAACTGTAAAAGCTTAGAAAAATATATTCAGGTTGGCAAAATAGCATGCATGTCCAGGTTTTTTAATGGAAAGCTCTTAGCATACTTGATCCCACAGGTGACATAAGTCGCCAGCGCTATAATGTGGGTTGATTTGGTGTTAGCATCCTGTGTTAACCCACGTTATATCTTGGCGTTTTCTGTGAATGTAACTTTTGTGCTAATGCACCATTGCATTGAGTGAACAAGCCAAGGTTACTCTAATCACTACTATCAGAGCCACTTTAAAAGATTTAAAATATTCAGTGAGGTTCATCATGAAGACTGGATAATTGTAACATTTATCAGCCAATGTATCTGCTTGGATAATTACCAATCATAAAATCAGAATAGGAAAAAGATGATTTGCTGAGACTATAAACAGGTAAAGGCTTAGAAACTTTCCTGCATTGCATCTTTTTGGCTACATCAGGGATAACACAGTTCATGGAAACCATAAAACTAGCTCTTACAAGTTTATTTCAATTTATTATTACCTATGCATTGGTTAGTGAGAACAACTAGGATGTGTTTTGTGATTTACCACAAACCTTTGAAAGCCTACTTACTTAAGTTCAGGATCTTCTTTTTCTTCCTTTGTAGGAGTCACTTTCAGACCACCTTTCCTGGCCCGAGGACAGCCAGATAAACTAAAGAAAAGTATGCAAAGCAGTTTATTTCCCTTCCTGACTTCCTAGTCTTTTACTTCTGAATAAGTAAAGGGTCCATACCTTCTGTGAGAGGCATAATTCCCTGTCACGTGACCAGAACCATCACATCCAGGAGTGGGACACCTGTGTACGAAAATATAGAGAAAAAGATGAATCCTACCTTATTCAATTGGGAACTTTAGGAAAAGTTTGCAAAGGACTTTCTTGGGTTCCTATTTTGGTACTTCACAGTGGAAATGCAGAAAATGCTTTGAAAATACAAAAAATGCCTAGGAAAAACAGCAATTTCTCAGGGAAGGAAATATTCTGCAGACTCGTCTACTAGGACAACCTCCGTAAGTTTTCTGGTTGGTTATTTAGAAGACCGGATGGGAGGTAAATCAATTTACCTCGCACCTGATACGTTGAATCAGCATGCCAATGGGCTTGCTGTCTGGCATTTATAGGAGCTGTAGTCCAACACATCTTGGGAAAGCCTGGCACAGATTCATCTGCCGAGTCAAACAAGTAACTCCTAAGAGCTGCATGGTGTCGCCATCTAAGGGGAAGCTAGGTGGGAAAAAATGGCGTTATTCTGTTGAGGAGCTGAATGCTGGAGTATTGAATAGCACCTAAAACAGGACTGTTTTAAACAAAAACAAGTAGGGCTTTTTAAAAGACCTTATTATTTCTTTATACATTTTTATCTGCTTTGATTATGTCGTGTAGGAAGAACTGAAGTGACATACTGCATGTATATAGAATTGCCCTCCCTTTTCTCTTCCCCTCAGTCACCTTTTTTGGATCTGTCTTACACTTAACTATTCAACTACATTTTTGTCTAGCTCTCCTCAAACCTCAGTTTCTAGGAAAACCTGGATTTCCATGTTGTTGCACCCGGTATAGTATAATGGCTGTGTTGAAAGAGCCTTGGTTTTATACATGTGCTAGGATATGATGGATGGAATATCTCAGAAGTAACTTAGTCAAGCCACGGAAGATTATTTTTATATATGATCACTGCTGTGAGACCACTGTATACACAAAAATGGAAAGACTCTGAAATACCCACAATGGAGGAATGGTTGGTGAAGATGATGGAACAAGCAGAGATGGCAAAATTAACTTGTTTCCTATAGAGAAAGATAAATTACTACATTTCTTAGTGACTGGAAACCCCTTATGGACTTTTTGCTGAAAAAAGAAAAAAAATGAACTGATGA